AACGTGTTTGTAGTAGGTTTAACTATGAAAAGAATCACTAACGGCCCATAGAGAAACTCACTGAACGGTCACGGTAACGACATGGAGGCAATCAAACGTCCTTTGATTGGGTGCATAGTTGAGACTGAACTAGCAAAAAAACTTTGCAAATTTTTGCTCGTATAGAGTCGTTTAGAACCGCTTTATTTTACGCGTTACTGCTGATAGTATGTCCTTAGATCTGCTTAAGTGTCTACAGTAGGTGATGAACCTTAATTGACTTCAACTAGTTTAAACGAGGAGTGACTGAGTAAAATTCCAACGAGCTGAAAAATTAAAAGACTGCATGGAAGTGAAGAAGACAATTATGTCACCTTTGGATGCTTTTTGTTGTATAACAGCACTGACTTTCGAAGAAACGCGCTTCTTCTGTTGTGGTATGTTGACATGCCACCATCTTGGGAACGATCAACTAACATCAAATAAAGTAAGCAAAACTTAAGACTTTAATTTTCAATTAACAAAGCATAGTCAGTGGAAGCATGAAAAAGAAAAAAAAAGATATTGATACCGATATCTCTCTCGGAGTTCACAAAACAAAGAGTTGTATATAAAAAGACATCGCATTGCTTCGTCTTTTTTAGTGCAAATGAGGACAAAAAATAGTCACAGGCCAATACTATGCCCAAGAGGTTTACAATGATAGTTAACTTATGTAATTATATAGATATACACTGTATGAAGAAAACATAAGGAAAATGACAATATGATAATTTAGTATCGGTAATAATGAAATAAACCCAAACAAACATTTATTTTATAGACGGTCGTACGGTGGTATTTTCGTGATACGTGATTACTTGTTTTTACTTCTACTTCTCAAAAAAGAAAAGGCCCAAAGCCTCATTGCAATCGTAAATTCAATAAATTATTCTTCGTGATCCATGACCAAATGGTTGTCCGTACCCCGAGAAAAACTCGAATCAATAATCGATATTCGTGATTTTATTACTTATTTTTCCCTGATTTTCAGTTTCGAAACCTCCGAAAGATAAATAAAGACCATGGAAGCATCGAATGAAAATGATGAATTTTTGTAAGTTGCTATTTGCAGTCTTGCTTTTTCTTTCGCCACGTTCAAGCTGTTTTTCAGACGCTCTTTCACCGCTTTTTTTTTGCATAAGAACAAGTTAAAAAACGGTATTTGACATGCTGATTATTTGACTCGAAAACTGAAATGAAAGTTTGATATCCGTGAATCGTGATTAGTTACTTTATTGGTCCGTGAACCGTGCCAGAAACCCCTCCTCCCCACCCCCCTCCCCCCGTAAGACATTCTCTTCGATAAATTCTGAAATAAGAATAGTTTGAGGATCGTCAATCAATCGCCGAAAAAAGTTTAACTTCAACGATCGCAGCAATCAAATTGAAAAATGTTTCACGATCGAAAATCATCCCGAGAAATAGGCTAGTTCTGTTGAAGTCGTTCTACTACTACTACTACTACTACTACTACTACTACTACTACTACTACTACAATGTAATAAATACCCAGTACAGAGACAGGCATTCATTAATCAAATCAATCGAATAATACCTGACTTTGACAAGAAATAATCTCCAGAAAGCATAAAACTGCTAATGAATTCGAAAGAATATCATGTAAACAAGTTAGTTATGAAGTTTATTTCCTCCTGTATGAAAATACGTGATAACTTGTTAGAAATGTAGCTAATTTTTTTTAGTTCATTATTAGTGTTGTTTGTTTTATATTTTGATTGTCATATGCATGCTTTTGCAATACTGTATAATGATGCGGTCATGGAAATAAAGCGATTTTTTTACCATTATTATTACTACCACTACCACTACCACTACCACTACCACTACCACCACTACCACTACCACTACCACTACCACTACTTCAACCACTGCCACAACCACTAACACTACTACTACCACTGCCACTGCCACTACCACAACTATTACCACTACTACTACCACTACCAATACCGCTACCGAATCCTTCCGCGTGCAACAAAGAAAATAGGAGACGTCTGCACGCAGGCAACCGAATCCCAGATTTTTAACACTCTACTGAGATGTGGGGGATGTACGCTAAGCAGGATTTTAATTGAACATGGGATAAGTCCCCTGTAGAAAAAATTCATCTCCACTTTTGTAAACACTACTTAGAAGTGAACAATAAGGCCTCTTACTTAGCTTACAGAGCCGAACATGGAAGAATACCACTGATTATCCCAATTAATCAGAAAACTATGAAATATTTCGTTTATCTAAACAACAAAGATAATGACTCTATAGTCAAACAGTCTTTCCTTCTGTCGAAGCAACTACACACTCTGTTAATAATTCCGGGTTTTATTCCAATTTTATAAACGTAATGGAACAATACAATCCATCCGCTCTAGATCCTGTATCTTTAGATAATGCTAATATTAGACGATATACAAACAATATGAAAGAGAAATATATATCTTTGTGGAGATAAAATCTTGAACAAATAAACACGTGTGAAAGCAAATTTGTCCAGTCTGCCTGCAAGGGCGGGAGGATTGGATTCATACGTTGTCGAAGCCCCTTGTAGGGGTGGGGGTGGGAGGGTGGGTTGATCTACACCCGTTTTGCTTTGTGGTTCGTTTGTTTGACCCTCCCTCCCCCTGTTTTTCTCTTATCTTGGTCTAGTGCTATCGCCTTCTCGCCTGCGGACTCGCATGCCCCGTTACTCACCTCTCGAGTCCCCAACCCTTTGTTAAAGGGAACCTCCACTTCAACAAAAAGATAACTTTAAATCACAGGAAATAACTGTTACAGTCAAGTCAATCTAAAATATTTTTAAAGAAAGCGTTTGTATCCGAAAGAAATAACTTTTAGATTCGCCTATTTTTGTTTTCAAATTTTGCGGGCGTCGCCATCTTGAATAATTGTGAAGTGTTACGGTTGCCCTATTGTTATTAAACAAAAGCTCTTTGTGTCAGAACAATAGAGCAACCATTATTCAAGATGGCGGCGCCCGCGAAATTTGAAGGTGAAAATTAGCGATTTTAAAATTCACTTTTCCTGATATAAACACTTTTTTTAAGGACAAATTTCGAACAAATTTGTTTATCAACATAATTTTATTCGATTTAAACTTATTCTGTAGTAAGAGTGGAGGTTCCCTTTAAGCGAGCGCGTCCCCCGGGAATAGTTTACTACTGGATCCTTATTTTAAAAGTAAAAAGTAAACTGATCCTTACGCCAGGAAGAGTGATGGAGGAAATATAGAAAGAAAACAAAAATAAAGTGGTGAATTATATTTGCCTTATATTTTGGTTTGCAAACAAACCTTCAAAGGGGGATACAAAAGGGAAATGAAGTTCACCACTTTATTTTTGTTATCTTTCCATATTTTTCCATCACTCTTGCTGCCCTAAGGATCAGTTTACTGTTCTAATTTTAAAATTTTAGTACTCAAGATTTTACTGATCCAGGTCTACTAAAGATCCGGCTGACCCTCACTGGTTTGTCCTTTTTTAGTTTTGGCTTCACAAGTGTTCCTTACCCTAGCTGTACCCCAGGGACATATTTTATTTGTAGACAATCCTTCCCGACCTATCCCTAGCTAATGCTAGTTTTGTTTCAAAACATTTGTGCTGCAAAGTAACTTGTGTGATGTTTGATCGGACACGTTTAACAGGAAGCGGCAATTTCGTGTGTAGGAGACTATTTTGAAAGGTCCTCAATGGAATTTAGCAGCTCTAATTAAAGGTAGGTCGCAGGTCTTTTAGTAGTCACGTGAAAATTTAGAGCAGAGCAGTGCGGAATTCTTTAATGCGTATCCCTAGAAAGAAACAAAAGCATATAATCTCTCTTTTAAAACTCTTCAAGTCAGGTTACCTGAGAGGCCCTGAAATTACAACGTAGAGAAAAGAAACAAAAATTATTATTTATTGTTGGCAAAAATGATGAGAAAGTTTGTGGCATCTGTACATACAAACTGTTGAATTTTTCTGATCTTATTATCATGCAGAACGTGGAGCAGTAGGCTAATTTATGCGTTACTCTCGCCATATTGTGTGTTTTCACATGACGTCATGGCGGCCATATTTGTGTCCCAAAACAATGAAACGGCGGCCATGTTTGTTTCCCAAACCAGTCCTATGGGAGTTGAACTCTTTTCGTATGTAAACGCTTTCTTTTGTTCCCATAAATCTGCATAGATGCTGGCCACGTGAGTAGCAAGTTCGGACTGTCTGTAGTGAAAATTGCAAATTTTGCAAAACATGGTCATGGCCAAACTCGGTTGCCATGGCAGAGTCAATGTTGACATATATACACAGCCTGGGGGGGGGGGGAGGGCACTCCGGATTTCAAGTGACAGAGATGATCGAATGGGGGCAAAAATAAAAACCTCCCAAAAATCCCAAGGGTTTCAATGAGAACCCAAAAAAATCCCTGAACCAAAATTTAACCCTCAAAAAATCCCATGCCGAATTTGCGAGCCATAAAAATTTCTACAGGAACTACGCCGCCGGGATACGCGGGAACTATCCCGAATCTTCAGATTGAATAACCAAAATCCCGAAATCGAAACTTTCAATCCCAAAAAATCTTTCGATCATCCCTGTCACTGGAAATCCGGACTAACCCCTCCCCCGGGCACACAAGGTAACGTGAAAATGTTCTCAGATAAAGGTGGCTAAATTTGGCGGCCATAGCTTGAAAAGAGGGCCTCAAAAGCATCTCCTCTCCCCTACCCAGCCGGCTGACGTTTACCCGACTACTCGAACCCTATTGATTCCTCAATCATACCTGTTGGGGGGATAGTTGAGCCGAAATTTTTTCAAGCACGGAAATTTTACCATCCCTTCTTTGAAGTTTTCTAGAATTGGATTTTAAACCCTTACAGTAAGCAGGCACACACTCTTCACACTTTCTCAACCCAAATTGTTTATTCTTTTTTTTATTTTAACCAGTTCACTTTATGTTAACACATAGTCCAAGTAATCATCTCTCAAATTTTCCTCATCGGTAAAGAGTTTTTGACATATCACTTCTTTCCCCAAATCCGCCTTCGGGTCGGAGTCCTCGGGATTCTTGGGATTCTCGGTATCGGAATCCTCGGGATTCGTGGGATTCTCGGTATCGGAATCCTTGGGATTCTCGGGATCGGAATCCTCGGGATTCGTGGGACTCTGGCAATCGGGATTCGTGGGATTCTGGGGATCGGGATTCGCGGGATTCTCGGGATTCTCGGGATCGGAATCCTCGGGATTCGAGGAATTCTTAGGATTGGAATCCTTGGGATTCGGATAAATGCCTTTGCGTCTCCTTGTCGTTCCATTTCCCTAATAAAGAATTAGTAAAAACAGATAAGAATAGCAATAACAGATTGCTCTCGTGACAGATTTTTTCTTTCAGTCATCTAGACTGTTCATGGTATCCTGGTTTTCTGTAAGATTGTCGTGATCAAGCGCTTACTAGAACGGGAAAAAAACGGGACGCTATCTTTGCTTTCCGATGTTCAAATGTACCGGAGGGAGCCTGGTGGGCGTCTACGAGGGAGCCTGGCGCCCCTACTTATGCAATGCCTGTTCCGCTGGGTACATTTGAAAGAAACCGCTCGATCACGACCATCGATTATACGGGAGACTAAATAGGGGGCTGTAAGCAGTCTATAAGTCATCGCAAAGAAAATATGTAACAAGGTTGCGAACTAAGCCTTCTCATCCTAGTCAGCGCGTTTGTAAACAAGGACATTACAAAAAAGGGATTAAGATGAACGCCCTCGTTTATCGTCGCTCGCCCCTCGGGTGCATGGGTTACGAGTGGAAAAACTTTGACAAGAAAAAAAAAGAGCCTTCTCGCAGTCCATTGACTCTTCAGTATAGAGCAAAAGAATAAAAATCACAATTACCTTTCGGGATCTTCCTCGTCATCAAAATCTTCATCACCATTGGTGTCTTCATCTTCCAGATCGCCTTCGTCTTCTTCTTCAACATCGGAAGCGTCATCTTCGCTTAGGTCATCTACAAATCCCTCGTCGCTTACAAGCTCCACCTTATCTTTGCCCTTTGCCTCATTAGCTGATTGTAACAGGTCCTCAGGTACATTTGCAGCCTGGGTCAGAGACCCAACCAGAAAAACCACTAGGGTAATAAGAAAAAGAGTCTTCATGGCGTTTTCTATATTCAATCCAAAGTAAGCAATGAAAACAGCTGTGCTTCTCTGAGAATTTTGCTCCGTTTCTGCCCTTTATATACAGGACTCTGGATTAAAATACGCGACGCTTCTGTATGTATATTTCTACTCGAGTTCCAATGTAAGCATATAAAGTGCGTCATTGATGACCACTATACCCAGTACAATACAACTGAGAAATTCAGACTATTAAGTATTGGTGATGGTAGCTGTCTTGGTCCATTGGCTAATGTCGTGTGCTATAAGTCAAAGGGATAATATTAATAGCACAATAGTTTCTTAACCACCGATGCAATCTAACGATCTGACTTCTAGTAGTGATCGGTGGGTGAATCGTCGTGAAATGCCCTTTTCCATCTTAAAATTACCTAAATATGCAGATAATATTGGATTTAACGAAAGAATATGTGAAGGTTATGTGTCGTGTGTAATTTCCGTTCTACGATTTTAAAAGAAACAGTATTGAGTCCTGGAATGTATGTTTTTTATCCTTAAACATATTGAAAAGCATGCGTGGATAGCAGTTACGCACAGGTTAAGGATTTTTTTAGACGTTTGTGTTTGTTTTTAAAAACTAAGACCGGCACAATACTTACATACATACATACATATCCTTTATTTAATCACGATATGATTTAAAGCTCAAAGCTTGTGGAGTCGTGTAAAAATAATTACAATGGATAAAACTATATATTAAATAAGAATGAAATTACTTACAAAATACAACTACAATTAAAACTCTAAAAATATACAGTAAGATTCTAACCAAAAAAAAATACAAGGCTAAAATGAATTTACATTAGTTACCTCTAAGTAAATGGACTACAGCATTTAGAACATAAAATAGTATATTATTCTGGCTGTCCAACGGTGAAGTTCTTCCAGAGAATGTAGAAGGTCCGCAAACGAGTAGTCCATATAGAACTGATGGTAATATTATCTTGATGTACAAGTCCAATACGGCGTTTCTGCTCAAGAACGAAGTCCTTTTCAGGAGGTTCAGTTTGTTTACGAAATTCTTTTTTACGTCTGTAAGGTGATGTGACCAGGAAAGCCTGTCATCGACAGTAACGCCCAGAAAAGGAGAGTATTTCACCCACTCGATCCGATCCTCTCCAATAGTCACAGAATTTAGCGGCCCTATGTGCGGTTTTCTCATCAACAGCATAGCTTCGCACTTTGCCGAGTGAGGGGTTAAAGAGTTCTCTAGGCACAAACTGTTCAGTTCCGATAAAGCTTTATTTAAAGAAGTGACAGTGTTATCAACAGTGTCCCCGATGCAATAAACGGTGGTGTCATCTGCGCACATAAAGACAGAGCCAGAGGTAACAGCACTTGGTAGGTCATTGATATACAAGGCGAACAACGTTGGGCCAAGTACTGATCCTTGGGGAATCCCGCAAGTGACGTTTAGCACAGTTGAGTACTGGCTTTGTATCGGAATAGGGCAGTTAATTGATATATAAAAACGATTCCTAGAAAACTGAATTAAATGTCTCGGCTGAGGGTGGATTTCCACTGTCGCGTAATTTTGATGTGCCTGTACACGCACGTAAATTTTACTCGTGTAAATAAAATAGAGGCAAGGTATGAAGTGTTGCGCTTAAACGTGAAGCTGACCAAGGTTCAACTTTTATGTTTACGGGGCAAGACCTTTCACAGTTTTACATTGCCTCAAGAGAGGATAAAGGGGCTTTATCCTCTCTTGATTGCCTCTATTTTAAATGCGAACATAAATTTTACGAACGTACGCACTCAAAAATTACGCGGCAGTGGAAATCCACCCTGATTCAGAAGCGATAAAATACAGATTACATTTTTTCCAATTTACAAATTCCAAATTACGGATGGGCCATCTTTAGAAAAATACGAACAGTACACATGGTCTCAGGGACATTAAAAATTTTATACAATTCCTACTTCTATTATAAATACAGTCAAACCTCCAAGTGCGACCAATTCTCGTTAGCGACCACCTCCCATTAGCTACCACCTATTCAACACACTAAAATTTCCCCATTCAAAACCCTATAGTCAGATTAGAACCACTCGTAAAACGACCACCTCTCATAAGCTACCACCTATTCAACACGCTAAAATTTTCCCATTCAAAACCCCATAATCAGATTAGAACCACTCGTAAAAGACGTAAAACGACCACCTCTCATAAGCGACCGTGGCCACTTTTTGCCTTAATGTTTGTGTAGTTTTTCATCGTTTTTTACCTCATGCCACCACTTGATGCCGATTGTGTGTTCTGTTTGTTCATTGTATGTACTACGTTGCTCAGAGTGTACCAGGCATTTTCAGTGACAACATGGACTATACGTATCTTAGAAATTGCCCGCAATAAATTATCCAGTGTCAAAAAGTAGATGCGTCGGGACCTCTTCTTGGAAGAGGCTCACTACGCGGCCACTAAGTCTTAGACTAAGTCTCCTTGGTGCCGTTGATTTAACTATGAATAGTAAGAATCCTCTAACGGCCTATAAAGAAACTACACAAACTGAAAACTTGAAACACAATTGATAGGAACATGGAAGGAAAAAATATCCGTTGTGTAGTCGGTCGGTGGGCCGACGAAACCCGCGCATAATTTCACGCTTCTGCTAATAAGACTACTAAGATCTGTTTTAGTAAGTGCTTAATGGTCGGTTATTCAAGTGAAGTCTATCTTAAATCTTTGGATCTCCAGGTCTCCTCCTTAGTGGGTTATAATGTTTTGCTTATCTTCCCTATATACTTCCATGAAACTGTCAAACAGCATGACGTCATGATGACGTTACGTCATCGTGCGATCAAACCATTCCTAGATGTTGAAAACGATGTGTATATTATGTTTGTAAAGTTGTTCCGGTCCCCTAGAAGCCCAAAACTTCAGGTTTTGAATAGGGTAAATATCCCAATTTTGCAAAGGGCAAATAATGGTTTAATATATTTTAAAGTAAAAGTCAGCAACATGACTGAAAATGTAAGGGAAAGTCGGGAAAGGAAAAAAAATAATTAAAGGCTAATACTATGCTTGTAAGGGTTACAATTGTATATTATATATTCTGTGAAAATAGTTATAAGGAGAGAAAAGGAGCAAAAACAAACAAATATTGTCGGTAAAAAATAAAGGATATCTATTTAAAAACGCATAATGGTTATGCAAAGGCTAATGGTTTTCACACGAGCCCCAACAAAAAAAGGAAAAATAAAGCAAACGAAGAAAACAAAAATTAAGGCCAACCATCTCATTGATCAAACTGAAAGTAGTCCTCGACCAATCGTAGTGACAATCAGGGTCCGTGAGATCGGTCATACTTGTTGTACTCAAAAAGGAAATTATATAGGGTGGTGCGGATGGCGGTCTAAGTTATATAGGGTGTCAAACCCTACATTTATTAAATTTAGGTTCTGTTCCCGTCTGCTAATAATGATTTACTCTTTTTCATTATAACTGTTTGGACGTCTCGTGAATCGAAACGTCTTAGACAGGCAAAGGCTGAGAATTCAGAAACAGAAAGGATAGAAAAAGCCAAGACCAATACAACATAGACAATCATAAAAAAAGAAGTATGTATTTCTACATCCGGAAACGCACGCGTCATGCCAGCTCAATATTAAGTATTTTCCTAAGATGCTGTCTCCAAATACAAAGCCGGGCATCTTTTTCCCACAGCTTCTGATAATTTGGGAAAAACCTTAAAGTGGTATTCTAATTGAATCTTTTTGGTAAATTATACTGGGGGGGTAAAATCGGGAAACGATCAAAAATGGATGAAAAAAGGGATCAGTTGTACCTGGGCGTCCAAATATGGTATGGTTTTCAGAGTCTCGAGTCTTAAACCGGTTTTACCGATTTCAATATTTAGCGTCTAAAACAGAGTATCGTTATGGACCCTAGTGGACAGCTGGCAATGAGCAGTCATACAATTCTGTTAGCCAGGAGCCCATCAAATGGAGCCTCCATCTCCATTAATTTCTTGAGTCAACCCTTTCCCGAGTAGATTTATAAATAGAACGGCTTGTTTCCCGCGAAAAGTGTCATATTTCCGTGAGTCTCGTATGTCACCGTGAAAAAAATGAAGTTGGATGAAGTCGAACTCAGAAGCCCATCCTTCGACCGTTTTCCTTTTTTACTATACGTCCATTTTTATAGTTTTACAGCCGCTGGGATCTGGGATGAAATAAAAGTTAATGAATTACCCGACTGAGACTGAGCATGAAGCGATGGGACAAAGGCAGCGAACTGAGGATCACGGAAAGGTTCTTTGCGAGTGTTTGTTTGTTTGTTTGTTTGTTTTTTTTGCCGTCATACATCCCACATTTAAGCATGCACCTTGAAAAGAGTCGACGATTAAGCGTTCTGTGGACGATTTGAAACTTCGCGATGATCAGCGCCGAAAAAGTGCCAGGATCATTTATTTTTGTCATCGCCGTGGAGTGGATTTCGCCAGTTAATTAAGCACCGTGTGCAAAAGCGATGACCTAAGTAGCAAGTAAGGAGGAATGCTTCAGAAAAATTGCAGTCTTCCTTTACAACTGACTTGTATCACCATGAGAGTTGCCTGATAAAACTGGCACTTGAAAAGTTGAACAGAAGACAACAGTTGCTCGACCGTGAAGCTATTAAACTCAAAAGTAATTTGCTAACGGTGGAATTTGTGACATCGCGCTCCAGTCCAAAGACCCTCTTATCTCAAGAAAAACAAAATGGATTGTATCTGCGCCCAAAGAATTATGACTGACCAACAGGAGAATTCTCAGCAATTAATGTAGAAGTTTAGGCCAATTCTTTCCTTCGAATTCGCATCTGTAGATCACTTTTTTGCGAGAAAACAATGGCTGGGCTCGGCGTTTATACAAAACATGGCAGGGAATCATCACACTAACTGACGGACAAAACAACCACAGTATTTATTCAGACAAACGCATTTCGGATAAAAACTTGAAAAACTAGAAATTTGATTAATATTGAGTCATTTAGCCGA